ATTACATCATGTTCACCACCAAAATACTAATTACAACCCATCACCACACACATGTACCTAATTATCCCTTTGTGGTTATTGAAACACTAAGTCACTGAGTTAGGAGGAGTCCCCAAGTGACATGGTAAATTGCCGTATTAGGCGAGTATGTCTGTTAACTGCAGAGAAGTGCAAATTAGAGGCCAGAGCCACACTTCTTTGCTAAATGGAAAAAATCTTCCTCCTCTGTTCTCCTCTGTGCATGTTTCAGTCTTTTTTCTGTATAAACACTGACCAAATATTTAAAAATACAATCAAACATGCACTATATTATTGGCCTGCCCCAGACACAGTTATTATAGTAGCTTGCTCAAGGTGTTGATATGTCTCAGTCCTACCAAGCCCACTGTCCCACCTTATTTTTCTGCTGTCTGTTACAGTGGAAAGCAACAAGCACTATCTACAAAATTACTTATGCAACAGACTATTTACATAAGCAAACACATACTTTAGGACAAGTACTAATATTTTAAAACTGGGCCAAATGGAAAACTTCTGTACAGATTTCTTAACTTTTGTTCCACTGAATATAGTTTCATTAAAATTAGAATCTAAATATAGTATGAGCCTCCCATGGACTTCCAAACCATAGCCCTCTCTTCTTTGTTGGGGAGAAGTGATGGGTAAAGGGATTGAGAAGGCATTGAAAATAAACTTCCTCTATTTCACTATCTGGACCACTCTTGACCTTAGAACTGAGCCCCTTTCTATTGTTCAAGAAGCCATTTCATTTTATCTTGCTGCTGTGTCTGGGACTTACTCTAGGGAAACTTATAGCAGTCTTTGCCTCCATCTGGCTGCAGTAAAAGGGGGCATTGGGTAGAGAGCAGAAACTTGATATTTTCACCCAAGTTTTGCCTTGGGGGTCAGAGTGCCTCCATCCTACCCCAAACTTTAGTCCCCTGAGGCCTGAGTCTCCTTCATGCAGGACTTGAGCTAGTGAGAGGAGAAAACCTGTCCATAAGTGGAACTTGCGTATGTTGATTTCCATCCTCTCAGGGCCTATACACAAAGTTACAGTCCCATCTGACGTCCTCTGTGCCGAAGCTCTCTTCTGCTGCTTCTTCATGGAGTCCATCAGACACAATCCCTGCCCCCAAAGATCCTCCAGGCTGGTACAGACAAAACAGACACCCTAGTCACAGACTCATAAGGGCAATTTTTGTACTTAAATACTGAGAGAAGAAAGCCAAGCAGAAAATAGCAGGGAGAGGTAGAATTAGAATGTACTTTTTTCTGATTAGGCAAATGTTAAGACCTAGCCCTAGAGTATTGTTATGTAGAAAGACCATGTGGCCAGATCCTGTGAGCTCAGGGGGCCCAAAGTGTATCATCAGTGGCTATTTACTCCAGGATGATTAAGAAGGATTTTTTTAAAGGTCTTTCACAGAGATTTAAATGTTTACCTCCCACTGGAGACTCAATGAGGAAGGTGAAAGGAGCCAGAAAAGGGAGGGCAGAAAGGCCAGAAAGAATAAAAAAGGCGAGGTCACTCCTCTTATAATGAATAATTATGACTGTAAGTAATGAACTGTGCGTCTCCCATCCCTAAATAGGCCACAGCTTGTCCTGTGTATTTATTCATTATTCAACAAACATTTGGTGAGCATATGCTGTATGCAGGACATTTTGTTAAGTGGTTTGGTGGGAAGGATACCAAAACAACACAAATTCTGCTTTCATAAAACTTAGAATTTAATTCCATTCCTAAGAAGCCCATATTTCCCACATAGACATCATTATATTTGACCACTGAGAGTCCAGAGGAGACTGGCTCCTGAATCTCTGACACTCTGAATTTTCGTTATTTTTCAGCTGCAGGATGATGCTCGGATTCGAGGTAAAAGAGCAATATTCCAAGGTTTGGATAAGCCATGAGTGGTGGCAGGAAATAAGGAGGAGTTCATCCCAGTCTCATTGTGGGATCTTCCATTTGGCTAAGAACTGAAGTCCAGGTCCTCTTTTCCTTTCCCCTTCAGCCAAGCTAGGCATTGGCTTTCCTTGAAATTCCATGAGCACTGCTAGTCTCTCCTCTGTCCGGGACAGTTATTTGGATAGGGACAGCAGGATCCCTTTCTCCCTTGGGATGGCTGTTGAGGGCCTGAGGACACTCTCAGCCCTCAATTAGACATGGCTCTTTTCAGTAAAGGAGAGACACTAAGCACAGAGGTGAGCAGCTTCCCAGCTCTGCTGTAAAGACTTAGCAGGGCTGGCATAGGGATTGAATAGTGGGAAGGTCAGAACAGAATGATTTTTCACAGTAGTCAAGTTATAGTTCTCAAATGCCCAGATGCAAATTCTAGTGTTTCAGGAAAATACTCAAAACACCCAGGAGCCTAGAATTACAGCATAAAAGCCATATTTGGAACTCCTTCCCCCACCCATCCAAGAAGGAACTTATAAATCAGGGCTTTTCAAACTTTTGCATGTATACAAATCATCTGGGTAACTTGTTAAAAGGCAGATTCTGGTTCAGTAGGTCTAGAGTGGGCCTGAGAGTCTATATTTCTAGCAGGGTCTCATGTGATGCTGAAGCTGCTGGTTCATGGATCAGACTTTGAGTATCAAGAATACAAATGATTGAGCCCAATAAAATATCCTCTAATATCAGAATGAAATAAAATTTAATTCAGGAACTTTCAAGTCCTATGGAAAGATTGAGGAGACTTCAGATGTGGGTGCAGGAATCAGAGGGAGGAGGAAATCAAAAGGAGATTCTGGGGTCTAGGGGTCTCTCTGGAAATTGGAACTACTGTATGCATTTCTAGCCCCTCCACAAAACAAAGCTTATGAGAGTCCAAATCTTCTTGGGGATCTTTAAATACAGCCAGTCCAAAGAGAACCCCCTCTAATCTTTCTCCAAGCCTGGTCAATCAACTCCACTCCAGAATGATAAGGAAATACAGCCAGGCAGAATCCATTGTGAGACACAGAGGAAAGTTTTCTTGGCTGCTGATCGCCAAGGGTCAGCAGGTCAAAAGAGCCAAGCTTACCTCAGCTTGAAGGATGCTCTCCTTCATCCAAGGAAGGCTGATTTCCAAAGAGATCACTGCAGGCCCCTGGACACACCTCCTAATGACCCAGGATGTAAAAATGTGGATTTAGGATCCTAACTACTGCTATTGCTTTTCTGCTTCCTAAAAAGTGTGGGGGGGGGGCAGAGAGAGGGGAGGGATTCAGAATCAGGTGAGGAGAATTCAAGTCTCATTGTATCCATTTTCTATATAAAAAAAGGAGACAAGAAGTGAGAAACCAAGGACTTGCTCCAGTGGCAGTGCCTTGGGACTGAGGCATTTGGCTAACTCCTAATGCCCAGCACTGGTTAAACAGAGGTCTGGTGGTTGTGATTCAGTATGCTTTGCAAGTAACCAGATGTCTGGTGCCACGTTCTGCAACTGCCTCTCTGACAGGCCTGTAGGTCTTTGGCTTCCCCATAAAGTCTGGCCTCTCCCGTTTTGACTGGCTATACTCCAAACTAAGGACGTGAGCAGGGCTTAGGACTCTTACAGAAACATTTCCAGACTCCTGTAACAGAAGGACTCCTTCCTATGTCCCCTTTAGGAATGAGCAACTGCTCCAAAACACCCATATCATCTGCATCCAGGACTGGGTAAGTGGCCCTATTTTGGTAGTCCCCAAAGGAGATGGCATCCACCCAGAAATGGGCGTAGTAGATAGAAGTATAGCTGGGTCTGAGCCTTGAGCCTTCGGAAGCCTGTACTCCAATATAAGTCTCTTCTAAAGGGGCAGGAGGTGGCCCCCCACCACTCTCAACTAGTGGTGACATACAGAGCCAGGGCTTCCTCCTCTATTCTCAGCCCCATCAGAAATCCCTGGAATCTCAGGATTAGTCCTGGATCTCACCATCCTAGATTTTGAGAGATTCTCTACATTCATTTGAGGGACTAAGGGAACATAAAGAATGACAGATAAGAAAGGGAAGCCATGAAAAAATCAGAGACTTAGAAGGAGAAGGACTTAGAAGAAGAAAATTAATAAAAGTTTGAGAATCTTATGCCCTAACATCAGGAGATGTCAATTTCTTTCCCATAAGAAAAAGACTAGGAGAAAAAAAGATGAAGCTACAACACCAGAGATTTAATTCAGACATTCATAATGACTTCCCAATAGTGACAATTGAGAAACAGAGGACAGAGTAATCAAGAAAGACAGCGGCATCATGTTCCACAGAGGACTTCAGAAATACTTTTTCAAAAATCATTTTGACATGTTTCAGATATGATCCTGCTTGAACTAGGAAATGGTGAACTCCCTAGATGCCTGTTTGAACCAAATTTGATCCTATATCAGAGAGTTGGCCCTAGTGAAATAAAAAACATTCCTCTTAGAGAAATAGATCATTGTACAGGTGATCTCATATTTACATAAATTTTAAATGTAATTATTATAAATATTTACATATGAGGAGCACTTTTGGTCAAAACCATATCAGATCTATGATTTTATTTAGTTTTAATAGTCCTCTGAGGCAAGCATGAGGAATTTTCCTGACTTTCCTGATGAAAACATAGGCTCTGATAAGTTATGACACTATGTCTCCTAACGCCCAGCAAGGGGTCTTTCCTGTGGGCCACACAATCATCAAGGGATTGCAAATCCCAGAGCCAGTGATACCCATTCCTGGTGGAGTGTAATAACAAAATCCCTAAGGACAATGGGGGCCAGCCAGGTGGGGCCCCAGGGATGGGATCTCTCTCCCTCATACATTCACAACCTCCTCTTTTTTGGTACAGAAGCATGAGTCTTCGGGATTCTGGGATGACCCTAAAGTTGGGAAGATTGCTGCCAAGCACTGGAGAGCAGTCATCAGGGGCCCTAGTCCCCAACCTGAGAAACCAGCTCTCTGATCAATCAACTTGCTACCCTGGACCCTAACTCTACAATCAAGGAAGAAAGCCTCCTCTGCTTCTGCAAGGTGTTTCACCCAAATGGCCTTTCCCCTGAGCTCCACCCTGCCCATCCTGTTATAGGCGGGAACCCAGGCCTCATGGGTCCTCACTCACCATGGCAGAGCAGCACCCCACCAAGCAGGTGTGGTCCAATACAAGGGAAAATGGGGTGAGAGGATGGAAGGCTCAGGACAGGGCCAAGTCAGGATCTTTTGGTCTCTGTGATCAAGATAAAGAGCTAAACAGGGTTTATCAGATGTGGATAGTTTTGTGTAGGGGGGACTGTTCAGGAAACGGGGAGAGACAATTATGGGACAGAGATGAAAAGGTAGAAAATCTAAAAACACATTAAGAAATGTGAGGCCCGTTAGTCCCTTCTGGAAAGTGCTCTGGAAACTTACACTACCTTTGGGGCTTAATTCAGAATCAAGAGTCAAACACAGTAGGTTCATAATAGACTCCATAGTCAGGATTATCATTAATAAAGTACTTGAATGTGTTGCCCTCAAAGGCACTGATTAAGTGACAGGCTATTTCCTCAACGTTTTTAACTTCCCTACTCCCTAGTTTCATCTGACATCTAATCCCATATGGAGAAGACGACTCTCAGATGCTCACCTGTGGCATAGACTATGCTAGCCACACTCTCTATACGGCCCTGTCTAGAGCTTATTGGGAATTCCTTTTAAGGCAGAGTCTGAATGATGGGTGATGGAGAAAATTGGGCTCATCTGCCTGTGTTCAGTGACTCTGTGTGCTTCCTTGAATAGTCCCCTTTCAAATATTTTTATCCCCTTTCCCCCATATATCAGCAAAACACACAAAATGTCCCAATATTTTGGCAATGAGATTACATCTTTTCTGAAAGAATGCATACACTCACAAAACCTCTGTCATCATTCAAAACTTAGTTTTGGTTCAGAAATTAAGGCAGGAAGCTTCCTTTCTCTTCAGTACAACATAGGCAGCAGGTATAGGATAGCAAAGAGTAGACACTGCATAGAAAGAAGACGGTATACAACCAGTGGATCCCTTTCCTTAGTTTGTGTTGGAAATGTTGGGATAGGGTCATGAGGGTAGAAGCATCACCATGAGGACTGCTTTTACTGTCAGTGCCATCTGCCTAGTAAGGTAAATTTCTTTTATTCCCATCCATATCACTGTGACATCTAGGGCACAGCTTTGGTTGCCTGAAAAGAGAAGTTATAAGGCAGACACCATCACTGACCCAGAAGAGGGCGTGATACTCATGGGCAGAGACGCCAGGGTCTATGGTTGCAACTGGGAACTTGGAAATGGAGTGAGACCAAAGCACATCACAATTGCCAAGCAAAGAAACCAGCAAGCAAACAACTGATAAAAGAAGCGTGATGTAAAAGACATTTTCCCTGTTGGTTCTTATTGGATAGTGCAATGTAGTTATCAAATATCCAAGTATAGTATTGCATTAGTTCAGAGAACAGCACTGTAGATTAGGAGAAGATCTGGATTATAATATCACAAACTCATTTTGTTTTTCCCCAAGTTATTCTGCTTTGTGGGCCTCTGTTTCCTCCACTGTAAATAAGAAGGCATAATTGGAAAATGCTAAAGGCTCCTGTCATTTCTAATATCCTGTGATCCAGATGGTCTCACAGTCTATGATTCCAGCATAGCTATTCCCCAGATTGTGAAAAAGCCAACTAGTCCAAAAATATTTTCCACAAGAAAGGACTGTATACGATATTTGTCAAAGATGATGACCTTTGCACATATAAATGCACATATTACATGACAGGGAAGGTAGAGTGTTTAATTCTTTCTTTTCTAAACAAATCTAAACAAATGACCATAACATTAAAAATTATACAACATAGAATTTAGCCCCTGGAATGAGAATTTGTCACAGCACCAGTAAAACAATAAACAGAATGCATATAGCAACAAAATAAGTTTTAAAAAATCATCACTTTTTTAGATGTTGACTTGGCATTTGTTAAAATACAAATGTTCATTTTTTTAATTAAGACTTTACAAAAGTATGGAGATTTTTTTCATATGATGAAGAGACCCCATAATTTTTGAGTTGTATTGAAAATGGAAACTACATATGCTAATTCAACAGTGTTAAAAATGTTTACAGTGGTCTTCCAGTTCCCAAAACAGTTAAATATAATATAAAATCTCCTTAAGACATTTTATAGAAGTTGACAAACAGATAGCAAAATTCATCTAGAAGAATAGGCAAAACTTCCACACAAAAAAAGGTATTGATGGAGTTACCGTCAAAATTTTACTTCTCAAAGTCAAGAGAATAAGAAGACAAGTCACAGATTGGGAGAAAATATTTGCAAAAGACACACTGGATAAACCAAAATATACAAAGAACTCTTAAAACTCAACAATAAGAAAATGAACAACCCAATTAAAAAATTGGCAAAAGAACAGATTCCTCACTAAAGAAGGTATACAGATAGCAAATAAGCATACGAAAAGACATTCAATATTAATGTCATTAGGTAACTGTAAATTAAAATAAAAATGAGATACTACTACACATCTATTAGAATGGCCAAAATCCAAAACACTGACAACACCAAGTGTTGGTGAGGATGTGGAGTCACAGGAACTCTCATTCACTGCTGGTGAGAATGCAAAATGGTACGGCCACTTTGGAAGACAATTTTGGCAGTTGCTTACAAAACTAAACATACTATTACCACACAATCCAGCCATCATGCTCCTTGGTATTTCCCCAAGTGAGTTGAAAATTTATATTCACACAAAAATAAGCACATGGATGTTTATAGCACCTTTATTCATAATTCCCCAAACTTGGAAGCAAACAAGATGTCCTTGAGTAGGTTAATGTAAAAATAAACTGTACTACATTCAGACAATGGAGTATTATTCAGCACTAAAAAGCAGTGAGCTATCAACTCACGAAAAGCATGAAGGAAACCTAAATGCGTATTATGAAGTGAAATAAACCAATCTGAAAAGGTTTCATACTGTATGATTCCAAGAACATAACATGAAAAACTTACAGAGACAGTGAAAAGATCACTGTGAGATCTCTCACTGAAATGTGGGATGTTGATAGTAGGGGAAGCTGTGCATATCTAGGAGCAGGAGTATATGGGCTGTACTTTCTGCTCAATTTTGCTTTGAACCTAAAATGGCTCTAAAAAATATTTTTAAAAAAAATGTTAAGTGAAGTAAGCCAGAAGGAGAAAGACAAACACTGTATGATCTCACTTATATGTGGAATATAAACCAACACATGGACAGAGAAAACTGTATTATGGTTACCAGGGGCAATGGGGGTGGGGGGTGGGCACAAGGGGTAAAGGGAGTCATATATATGGTGATGGACAAACAAAAATGTACAACCCAAAAATTTCACAATGTTAAAAACTATTAAAACATCAATAAAAAAAAATTTTTTTAAAAATGCATACTGCAGGCAGGCCCAGTGGTGCAAGCAGTTAAGTGCACACTCTCCGCTTTGGCGGCCTGGGGTTGGCAGGTTCAGATCCCGGGCACACACCGATGTGCTGCTTATCAAAGCCATGCTGTAGCGGCATCCCACATAAAGTGGAGGAAGATGGGCACGGCTGTTAGCTCAGGGCCAACCTTCCTCAGCAAAAAAAAGAGGAGGATTTGCATCAGATGTTAGCTAAGGGCGGATCTTCCTCATAAAAAAAAAAAAATGCATAATGGACCACATTGTTGTCAGGCTGAAAACCAAAGAAATTTATGGTCATGTTACCCAGGGTGAGGAAAATGCTAAACCCCCTTGGCTAGAGCTGGCTGGCTCACATGTTTCAAAAGGCAATACAACACGAAAAATGTTGAATTTGTAAGTGATACAGGTTCTGAAGATCAGAAGGCTATGGAAGAATTTTTAAAATACCTATTAAGTGTTATACAGGAAAAGCGTTATGTGAAAGAACAGGTTTTTAACACTGATGAAACTGGCTTTTTTTGAAAGGTCATTCATTGGCAAATGAACCTATATAATGTAAATGGCCTCCAAAGTCCCTGGCTTTAAATCATTGAAAAACTGTGTAACTAACTACGTGTAAAAAATATTTATGTTAAATGAGATGTCTTGAAACAGAAACACCCATAAAACAAGGTTATGGATTGATCAACTGATGAAAAGGTTGTGACCAGAGGTCCACAGGAACCTAATCCTATATTTTCCCTAGGAGCAAAGGGTCTGTATTCACTAATTCAAAGTTCACAGTCACTTTATAGAATATAAGTACCATGAATAATTAGAATTGACTGTGTTTGTAATTGTCCCAAAACTGGAAGCAACCAAGATGTTCTTCAGTAGGCGAATGGATAAACAAACTGTGGTACATTCATACAATGGAATGTTATTCAGTGATAAAAAGAAATAAGTAATCAAGCCATGAAAAAATATGGATAAATCTTAAATGCACATTGGTAAGTGAAAGAAGCCAGTATGAAAATGCTACAACCTGGATTATTTCACTTATATGATCTTTTGGAAAAGGCAAAACCATACAGACAGTAGAATATTAGTAGTTGCTAGTTCAGGGGGAAGGGGAGGAGGGCTAAATAGGTGAAGCATAGGATTTTCAGGGCAGTGCAACTAATCCATACACTGTTATAATTGTGGATACACGACACCATGCATCTGTCAAGTCCTATTGAACTTTACAGCAAAAAAGAATGAACTTTAATGTACACAAATTAAAAACATATCATTTAGGAGGTTGAGGGAATCTGAGGATGGATTGTGGAATGTGATAAAGCAATCTAACTGTATTATAAATACATGAACCAACCTCACTGAAGTGGTTAGGGAAAAAAGGTGCTGATCTAAATAACTTTGGAAATTAGTGGAATCTGTAGGACGAAAGGCAAAAGCAACTGTACATAAGCACTGCACTCTCACTGACAAACTTGTTTCCCACAGGAGGAACGGGTTAACAATTGTGATACTGCAATTCATGTATACTTGAATTAAATACTTAATAAAAGGCAGATAGTAGGAGCCAGGATTCTCACTGTTGAAATGGAAGTTTTCAGATAAGCAAGGGGAGAAGGCTGGAATGAGCCATGTGATAATACATTGGAGTTGGAAACATCAGCATGAACTCATGTTTAGCTAAATGTAACTACAGATAGTTACATATAGAAATATTTACAGATATGTGTATATACATGGATTAGTATGCACACATATATTTCCTTACTATCAATTGAAAGGGCCTGAAGCAGCAACACATCAGTAATAACAATCACATCTACCACCCAGATCTTGGTTTCTAATATCATTCTCCAATAAAAGGAACCAGGGCTCCTTGAAGAAATGGGTATTCTAGGGCTAGGGCAGGGAATAGGCAGGGAATATACAAGATGAGCTTGAAGCATCTTATAGGACCGGAAAGTAAGAAAGTACTAAAACACACACGCACACAATGATGGGAGTAAGTCCAAGGAGCACAGGAACCAACTGAAAGAGGTCTCAATGGCCAAAGCTGGAACAACTTGAGCAACAAATAAAGTAGTATTGGATTATAACACAAAATGTAAAATATGCATGAGACCATAGTGATATAAGTAAATGACTGAACAGATAAATAAATGGGGGAGAAGAAACACATCTCCTGAAACCCATACTTGCAGAATAATGTGAACTAATAAAAAAGGAATGAGGGAGATAGGAAATTATCAAACGATGCTAGGGCTATGGAGTAATAGTTTAATAAGAAACAAGATGTTTACATAGTCTCAAACTACCTCTCCACAAATTATTAATTACAAAGGGAAAAATAACTTTATAGTGAAGAAACTTGGTAGACACCATGTTAAACATTTTTTCGGTCATATATATATGTATAATATATAATCATATATATATAAAATCCTTATATGTGTATAATATTTATATAATATGTATATTTTATACATATATAAATTTTATATTTAATATAGATTTTAATTTACAATAAAAATATTTTTTTAAAAAACAAGCAAGGATATCTTGAAGAAAACAAAAGAGAGTTAATACATTTAGGTGCCTGAAATGAATTAACAATCAAGGTTGATTTCAAGTTGTGAAAAACTAAGGGAAAAAAAGAAACATAACTGATACATAGGTTATCTTTTTGTATCTTATCTTGGTGGTATACAAATATTTTCCTCCCAGAATTATATGAATTCTATCATAATATCTAAATTACAAATAATTGACAGCTATGTCATTTAGATTACATTCTATGTTAATTAGAGAGAGTAGAAATGAGACTAATGTGGAAAGCTTAAAGGATCCAATATGGGCTCAAAATTAGAAAGAATTTTTCAATAACAAAATGTTCTGCCTTACTTAGAAAACCAACAACGACAGAAAAACAAAACAA